AGATTTTGTGGCAGAGACTAAGCTGGGTTTGATCAAGTGCATGGTTCATTAGCCATGTCTGCCAAGGACATAGGAGTTCAAGGACAAGTATGCCATGTGTGCTGTTCCTGAGATATGGGATAGGGCCTTGAAAAGAGGAACTCAGAGATAATGGGTGCATAGAAATAGGGCTTGGGGCATGATGGGTGCAGAGATGAGGGCTTGGGAGGGGTTATCTGAGCAGGATGATAGGGGAGGGGATTAGCAAGGGCATAGAGGCAGAGGTGCTGAAGAGGTTGCTACCTAGATTCTGCCTTACATGTAGTGTTCAAAGTAAACGAGAGATTTCCTGATAAAATCCAGAGAGTTTGCTTTCCTCGAAGAATTGGCAAGACCTGCACATACACTGAATTAGAGCTAGGTGGAGGCTGCTTGCCCTGCTCAGTGCATGAGGCTCATGTCCCCACAGACTCCACTGTCTCCCTGGCCCCTGGGTACCTTTGTGTGATTTTGACAGCTCTGTGATGGGGGATAGATGTCTGCATGGCAGGTAAAGTCATCCCTCATTCCAACACTCTGGACTTAATGGTGAGCACTGGGTTGAAATGGATCCTGATGCAGAGTTCCCAGAGGCTGGAGGGTAGGGGTTCCAAGAAATAGGAATGGAACCTGGGATCAAGAGTAACCCAGTCAGGGACTGGGAATTGGCAAAGGTGTTGCCTGGAGTGAGGGGCAGGGACAGTCCTAAGCTTCGCTGCCTCTCAGTTGTCTAGGTAGATGGTGAGAACTCTGCTTGGCAGACAGTGCTCTTCCTCTCAGTGCTGTTGGGCCACAGCTCTACCATGCAGCTCCTGCTGGCCCTTGGTGCCAACCCAAACCAATGAGTGGACAGGTGGTGATGCCCCCATACTCCCAGGGCCCGGAGTCTGAGCCCCAGAGAGCCAGGGCTCTCTTTCCCAGAGGACTCTCACTCCTTGATGACCCTCCTGTCCCCAGTGACCCCTTTTGTCCCCAGTGACCCCTCTTGACCTTTCAATTAACCCCTTCTTGTCTTCCAATGATTATTCCCATTCTCCTGGTGCCTCTCATGCTCATAGTGATCCTCTCATCCTCTCAGACCCCACTGTGTCCCCAAGCTATCCCTCCTGTCCTGATACCCACCTTCTATGTTCACAGTGACTCTTTTCATCCCTCAGTCCTCCCATTCTGCCACCTCTTGTCTCTGGTCCCTTTTCTAATCCACTCATGTCCTCATTGTTCAGCTGCTGCCTCAATTGCAGTACACTTGTGCACACAGATGTCTTCTTGGGCTGCAGCCTGGTGGTATGGCATGTGCTGCAGGTGGGGGGTGACCTGCATCTGCATGAAGAGCACTCCTTGGGACTGGGCAGAGGAGTTTGGTGCCAAGCAGAGCCAGGAGGTAAGCAGTGGCCCAAGTGGACTGGGAGCATCAGGGCCAGCACCTTCACCCTATCTCACCCCACATGCCCCTCACCCAGGAGCTTGAGATATTACAGCCCTGTCATTTCCACGTATTAGCAGTAGCGCAGGGCGGTGAGTTGGCATGCCCTGCATCACTGGGCCAATTGCAGACTGGCTCTGGACATAGCCTGTGCGGCTCCCTGTCCTTGCTGCGGCTGGTGCAGACAGGCAACTGTCCACACTGTGAAGCCACCACTCCCAGCTACCCAGACTTACCTTCAGACTGCCCTTTACCCCAGGGCACTAAGGCCAGAGCAGATCAGGAAACCCCCCAAATCCAGCCTCCGGGTTCAGTCAGCAGGAGAGGTTGGCAGAGCAGGGAACACCACTGTCCTCTTCATGCCTCATAGTCCCGAACCCTTCCCCAGCTGAGCAGCCTGTGGCCACTGGGGCTGGTAACAACTATAGCCCTCATGGGCCCCAAAGAGCAGCTGCCAGCCTAGGTGAGCCCTGTCACACTTACGAGAGCAGCTCACACACTAATCGTCAAGTGAGAGATAGCTCCTCCCACACCCCTGCCTGGCTGTCAAGAAGAAAGCTCCACAGAGAGTCCAGACCTCCTGTTCCCCTCACAAGGAAAGCCCTTTCGTCTCAGATGTACACTCTCTCACCTCCCCATCTCCAGCCTCCTATGGAGGGGCCATCCAGTCAGAGCGTGGCAACTGAAGGCTCCTGGAACCCAGGCTGATATACTGTTGGCTGACCTTCAGCACTGCAGGTACGCCACCCCCACCCTTCTCCCAGGCCAACCTAATCTCCTGCCTGCCCTCCTGACTCAAGTGTTTATAAACAAAAGACCAGGGAGTATGGCAATGGCCATGGTTACAGTCTTCACTTCTGGACCAGTACCTGGCATGAAGCCCTCCTACTGAAGTGACCCTCCTCCCACTGAACAGTGGGTACCCAGTTCTGTGTGTTGTGTCTCATAGGCTGCAGAGAGGAGGTAGGTGTACCACAAACAGGGAACAAACTGGGTGCTGGCTCTCCTGTCCAGTTGCTGGTATAGAACAGCAGCTCCTGGCACATGGTGATCTGTGCCCAGGGGCAGCCTCCACCCCATGCAGACTGGGGCCTCTTTGTGAGTGGCCTGCTTTTCTCCTACCTAGCACCCTGCACCACCCAACCTGCTGCTGCTGATGGCACTGAGTCCTACAGCAGGCCTGTTGGGGCTGTACTTTCTCTTCAAGCCCATGTGGCTGGGCTCCCATGTGGCTCTGCACACGCAGGGACCAGGCAAGGGGCAGTCTCGCACTAAGCCAGGCCTGCTGCCCAGCCACTGCTACTGCAGGCAAAGAGTCTCTGTTGTTTCTGCAGGCCCACTGGCATGCCTGTGGCAGCCTCAGTTCGCATCTGTGCAGCTGGTGAGGCCAGGCCTGGCCAAAGTGGGCAGCCTGGAGCATGGGCGCCCACTACACCAGTGCTGGCTGCAGCCCAGGTGAGTACATGTCTCACCTGCCTGCCCAGTGTCCTTGTCTAGTGGTCAGTAGCTTAGCAGGCCCTTCATTCTCCACAGGCCTCAGCAAGGTTACCTCTGGGGAGGCCCAGGCCCAAGGCTACCCCACCTCCCGAACTGTACCCATGGCTGCCACTTGAGCTCATGTGCGGTGATATGCCTGTGGCCACCTCAGACCTCTACAGCTTCTGCACCCTGGCCCAGGAGGTCTTCACTGGTCAGTAAGTGACTCTACACACTGCCCTATTGAGGTACCCGGCCGGTCTGGATCCTCCAATCATGCTTCCTCATAAGAGAGCTGGACTGGAAAAGAGGGCCTGAGGTAAAGGCTAACCTGGAGGCAGTCCAGAGCCTGGCCTTGGAACCCCTGGTGCCAACCCCCTACCAGGCCTTGGTTCGGGCTGGGCTGGACCGGACCGAGAGCCTGCTGACTGGTGGGCAGCCTGCAGAATACCCGATACCTGCCATAGGAGGCCATGGCCCAGGTATAGGACAGGTTGGCAGGGGCGGGTAGTGGCCGGGGAACCTCTGCAGGGCTCATGTTCCCACATCCAGCCTCCTTTCAACAGGATTTGGCTCCTGGGGTGAGCTCTCTGGTGAATTGGACCACACTGTGCCCTGCACTCCAGGGTTCCCCACCAATTTAGAGAGCAAGGAGGGGTGGTGGCAGGTGCTGAGCACAGCTCAGCTGTACCCCCTAATTCCAACCAACTGGTTTATACCCCCAGTGACACTGTACTATGAGCTGGCTCCCAGAGGCAAGACTACGCTCAGGCCTGTGACATCCCAAGGCCCCTCCCCATTCCAGGTAGGAGCCAGGGCAGGGATGTGGAGAATCAAGGGAGCTGTGGGGCACCTAGGCCACCCATGCCAGCTCTCTGCTGGCCGTGGAGACTCCTGAGGTCACAGGCCACAGAAGAGTCCAGAGGGGCCCAGTCTAGGACTCTGGCAGCAGCCCCAGTGCCAGCTCTGACCTGTGCCTAGGCCACAGCCGCACAACCAGGGTCAGCCTGCACCACTGCCTGGAGCCCAGCTTAACAGTATGGCTATCCCTAAAGGTCTGTGTGACCATTCAATCCCTAACTTGTGACCCATCCCCCCAGTAGTCACCAGTTTCTTTGGCTGCCTCTCTATACAGAAACCACTTCCTGGGACTCCCAACTGTCCCCTCACTGACCTGTGAGCCCTGACCAACCCTGCTTCCCCCACGGCTCTGCACTGCACTCCAGCCTTCAGGACTCAGCTTCCCTGCCAGGGAGCCAGGGCTCTGGTGCAGCTCTCAGCCAAAATCCCAGTTCTGCAGGGAGGCTTCCCATACCCTGGAGGCTGCTGGCAGAGAAGGCCACCAGGGCAGGTGAAGCAGAAGATCCTGAGATCATGCCCTGACCCCCCCCCCCCCCCCCCACACACACACACCCCGCCAGGTCTATCCTGAGCCCCATGGCCACGGGTGGCAGCTCCAGCCTTTTCCCCTACAGGCAGCCAGCCCTGAGCAGAGAGGAGGTCCCTTCTTCAGCATGCACAAGTGAGAAATGGGCCCTGGTAGGAGGGTCTGGGGGCCCCTTCCTCATACCTGAGGTAACCCTCAGTCCATCCCTTCCCCACTACTCCCCAGGATGGATCTGCTGGAGATTATAGCAGAGCTGCAAGATGGATGCCAACTCGGAGACAGGCCCAGCCTGGACCCCACTCCTGACAGATTCTTAGGATATCCACGGCCCCTCTGCAGGTACCGTCCCTAAGAGTCTCTCAAGAGTGACTCCCCACTCAGCACCTGCTGAAGTGATAAAATGATAAAGCAGCCCAGCCAGTTTGGCTCAGTGGTTGAGCGTTGATCCATGAACCAAGAGATTACCAGTTCCATTCCCAGTCGGGGTATATGCCCAGGTTGCAGGTTTGATTCCTAGAAGGGTGTGTGCAGAAGGCAGCCAACTGATAATGCTTCTCTCTCATCAATGTTTCTATCTCTCCATCCCCCTCCTTTCCTCTCTCTCTAAAATCAATAAATACATATTTAAACAAAAATGATAAAGCAGCCCATTGCCTCTTTGTTCACTGAGCCTAGTCCCAGTATGACACTAGCAGCCACATTTTCACCATTTTTATTCATTAATTTTGTCAGATGGTTTAGTGGGGCATGTGGGAGATGGGCAGGAGTTGTCCCCCAACCCCTGTGCATAGGTCAGGACATGCTGGGGGCTCCTGGAGGAAGAGGAAGGACAGTGTGTCAGCCTAGCCCTCAGATTTGTGTGAGAGCCCCATGATAGAGGTTGGTGGGGGAATGGGGGTGCCCTTAGTCCAGGGTAGGGAAGCCATACAGGTTAGGGATCCACATCAGAAGCAAGTTACAAAGTTAGAAACCTGGAGTAGGGGTCAGGAGCTCAAGAAAATACAAAACAAGGAATTGAGTTGGGCCAAGATCAGTGAGAAGGGAAGGAAGGTCTCTGCTCTGGTTCAGCAGTAACTTCGGGTCTGGCCCTCAGAGTGAAGGGACCAGCTGGGAGTGGGGTAAGGGGGTGGGGGACCAGCCCCCTCCCTTCCTTGGCCCCCATTCCTGTACAAGGACCCTCGGTGGTGCTTGCCCTGCCTCCCATAGGCTGGTGGAGCTGCCCTGTAGTACAGGAGAGGCTCAGGAGAGCCCCAGGCCCCAGGCACCCTGTGAGGGGTGTGAGGATCCCAGGGGGCCCTCTCTTTCTGGGGAAGGTGGGGGGCTGTGGGGCCTGAATCTGAACGGCTATGGGGATGAGCAGGAGGGGAAGAGGAGCTGGAAGAGGTGGATGAGGGACCCCTGGGCCCTAGGGCTAGGTTGACATAGAGGGGTTCAGGCCGAGTGGGGCACCTGGCAGGGTGCTGAAGGGCTGAATAGCCCAGGTGGTTATGGGGAAAGCAGGAGGGGGGTGGTGGGTAGCTGAGTAGGAAGTCAGGGGACCTATGGAATGGTGGTGATTGGTCAAGCATGCCATGTGAGGCATTGAGTCTATCTGGTGGCATGGAGTGAAAGGGACTCCAGGACTGGGTGGTGCCAGAGTAGGGGGACCCCTCACCCGCCTCAATCTCATAGTACAGGTTCTCTCCCCTGTCAAGTGGTGCAGGGGGACCCAAAGGGCTCCTCCAGACTGGGGTTGGGGAACTGGGCTGGAAGGATGAGGAGGCCAGGGGGTACAAGCCTGGTTTTGGGACCCCAAGAAAGGGTGGCAGGCACTCCTGGGGAGCTGAGGAGAAGCAGCCAGGGGTTCTCACAGAAGAAACAACCTGGAGGAGACAGAACATAGGAACTGGGACAATGTCTCTGGCACATCCCTGAAGCCCCCACCCTTCCTGAGCTGGGCACTGACCTGGGCAGAGCTTCTGTGTCCCCTCCTTGAGATCCCCATGGGCCGCTGGCTCCTCACCAGGCTCCCAACACTTTGTTGCCGTGGTAGGGAGGGTGAGGGTCTTGGAGTCCAGGCATCAGGGTGGGCTAGGGAGGGGGCGGGTGGCCCACTCCCTGAGGTCCCGAGGGGCTCACCACCCACCTTCAGGGACAGTGAGCAGTAGAAAGGGGAGCGGGGAGCCGATGGGGTACTCCCATGCTCCTGTTGGCTCTGTCTCTGGGCCACCTGCTGAGCCTGCTCAGCCAGGGCCAGGGCCATGAGGCGTGCTGGGTTCTTGGGGGGTGGAGGTGGGGCCCCCCCAGGGCGCAGGAGGGACAGGGGTGGGGGCAGTGGTGAATCCATGACAGGTCCTATACAAAGAGGAATGGGAAGGGGCGTCAACCAGGTCTTGGATGCAGCCTCAGGGTCCGTGAGGGTGTTGGATGGGTTGAGTAGGACTCACCATGCTGTCGTTGGGCTTCCCCGGGACCAGGTAGTGCTAGGTTGCTGCAGACCTCCTGTTGACAGGTGTCACTCAGCTGGGCTTCAGCTCCATGTGGCAGCAGGGGGATGACATGGGGGCACAGGCCTGGGCTGGGGCTGAGTGCTGGTGTTGGGGTGAGTGAGGCAGGTGTTCCCCCAGCCCCCAGCAGCTCCAGAACAGCAGGTGGCACTGATACAGACAGGGGCTCTGAGATATCCAGGGCAGTGGACGGAGCAGGGCTGGTGGGCCCATGGGGCAAAAGGGCCTGGGAAGTTGCCCTGGGTGGGAAGGCAGAAGCGGGGGCTGGGGGGGCCGGGCTGGCAGGAGGTGCAGGGTCCCCTGGGGTAGGGCTGCTGCAGCGAAAGGTAAGGGGATCAAAGTCGAGCCCACGGAGCCCCTCCAGGCAGTGAGGTGGGCTGAAGTCCAGATCATCACCATCATCTAGCCAGGCTGAGGTTCGGTGAGAGGGGGAACCGGAAAGTGCCCCGAGCCCAGCTGCTGAGGATGAGGAGGACTCAGAGGATGAGGAGGATGCAGAGGAGGACGAGGACAGGCTCTCACAGGAGCCCGCCGGTGCTGGACCCACAGGGAAAGCATCACTGCTAGAGTGGGGTCGCCGTAGCCTGCTCAGCCTCTGGAGGCCTGGGGGGGAGGAAGGGCAGTTAGGGGTCAGGGCTCAAAAGTTTACATACCCACACATTAGTGAGAACAGGGCACACAACCCAGGAGGCTGGGAAATAACATGCAGAGGCACTTCCCTGGGTAGGGCCACAATGGCTGTGAACCCAGGGAGAGCTGTTCAGACTCACAGTGACAAAGGAAGTGAATGGCAAGTCCCTGGGGAGAACCATTCCAGACCCAAGGGCCAGAATAAAGTCTGACAACCCCACGGCTATGAGCATGAGACCAATAGGATCCCAAACAAGGCTGCTGGGAGTACAGACTGGGGCTACCACGTTCGGAAAACAATTGGGCATTTTCTTGTTCAGTTGAACATGCATATACCCTAGAGCAACGGTTCTCAACCTGTGGGTCGCGACCCCTTTGGGGATCGAACGACCCTTTCACAGGGGTCACCTAAGACCATCGGAAAACACATATATAATTACATATTGTTTTTGTGATTAATCACAATGCTTTAATTATGTTCAATTTGTAACAATGAAAATACATCCTGCATATCAGATATTTACATTACGATTCATAACAGTAGCAAAATTACAGTTATGAAGTAGCAACGAAAATAATTTTATGGTTGGGGGTCACCACAACATGAGGAACTGTATTAAAGGGTCGCGGCATTAGGAAGGTTGAGAACCACTGCCCTAGAGTATGTGTAGAGCTCTCTCAGGAGTGTGGGCATGGCAGGGAGCACCCATAGAGACCCCAGATCCATCAGGAGTGGGATGGACAAGCAACTCCCGATGAAATATCCACATGGAACACTAAAGATCAGCAGGAAGGAGTGAGCCTGAGCGATACCTAGCAACATGATGGTATATGTAATGCAGTGGTGAATGAAGTCAAGTTCCACATACAGCACTAAACCCCCTTTCTTATGATACCTTTAATTGACATTTTAAAATGACTAGAACTGCTCAATGTTTATGTATACATCTGTACATGATAAAACCTTAAAACCAAGGATGACAGCCCTGGCCAGTGTGCTATGTGGTTAGAGCTAAGCCCACTCACCAGAGAGTTCTGGGTTCAATTTCTAGTCAAGGGCATGTACCTGGGTTGCAGGTTCGATCCCTGGCCCTGGTCAGGGCACGTGCAGGAGGCAACCAATCGATGTGTCTCTCTCACATAGCTGTTTCTCTATCTCCTCTCTCTCTCACCCATCCTCCTCCCTTCTACTTGCTCTTAAAAGAAAAAAAGAAATCAACGGAAAAAATATCCTCCAGTGAGGATTAATAAACAAACAAAAAAATCAATGAGGATGATGACCATCTAACTAGAGGATGCCTCTGGTGGATAGGCAGCAGGTAGGAGAGGGGAGGAGCTTGAAGATAAGGTAGTGGGGGTTCTTTTAGTTCTGGCCAGTGGGTACATGGGTGTTCATTATATTATTTATATTTTTTCAAAAGGAATGAATAAGACTGTTTGAAAGGACCCTGTATGGACCATTGATCACAGTGTGTTATGAACTAAGGGTGATGCTTTATCCAATTCATCATACCCAATGTCCAAATTAAAAACTATAAACCACCAAAACCCCCAAATTTGAAGTACAGCATTTGGAGGCTCCACCCCGCCACAGGCCAGGCCACCCCGAGCTCACCAGCCCCGCTGGCCTGAGATGACAGAGACTCCTCACTCTTGGCAGATCGGAGTGTGACTGTGTCAGGTCGGTTGCCTGCAAGGAGATTAGAAGGGTCACAGAGGCACTCCAGAGTGCCTCCCCCGCACCATGCTGACTGCCCGACCTCTGACCTGAAGGCTGTGGTGGAGCACGCATCCCCCCCAGCCAGGGAAGAGGCTTCTTCCGGGGAATGCTGGGGCCGCGGCCCAGTGCAAAGAAAGTCTTCCAGCTGCTACCACCCGGCTTCCGCTGTTTCTGGCCTCTCTCCCCTTTCCTCCTGGAGTTTGGGTGAGACCCAGGAGGCAGTCTGAGGAGCTGGGACCTCAAGGCTTACCCCTCCTCTCCCCTGCATCCCACTCACCTTTCCACAGGAGAGTCTGAAGCCTTGGGAGCTGTGGATTCATTGGGTGTCCCCAGTCGGCCCTGGGTTCGAGCCTGGGCTTCCTCCAGCGTCAACAGGCGAGTGGAGGGGCCACTGCCCACAAGGGACTTGGGCCTGGGAAGGAGGCAGCGGCCTGGGGAGTTGGGAAAGTGGGCAGCTGTCAGCCCAGGGAACATTCAAGGTAACAGGTAAAGCTAAGTGCTACTGCCCAAGCTCTGGCCCCAAAGCATAACCCCCACCCCGGCTGGCAAGGCAGGGAACCAGAGAGGATCAGGTGGGAATGGGTGGGCAGCAGGCAGGTGAGCAGGAATGAGGCAGAACCAGCTGATGAGGCAGCTCCCAGCAGCCAGCAAAGGCAGTGGCTCTGGCTTCAGTTACCTCGGGCCAGAGGGCCCTCCGATGTGCTGAATCCTGATGGGACTGGGGTCCCGGGCAGGGTGGGGAGTCTGGGTGGGGCCTGGGCAGGGTCAAGTCTGGGGACCTCCCACCTCCTCCCAGGTGGACCTCTGGCCCCAAGCACCCCCAGGAGCTACAAGGGGTGGAGGAAGAACGATGTCCAGGCCAAGAAGTGGGGATCCTGAGCGTAGGAGCTGAAATGAGAAGGGTAGGGAGGGGAGGGAGAGGCCGGGGCGGGGTCCTCAAGGAGCCAGGGAGGAGGTACAGCTTCAGTGGGTAGGGACAGGGCTGGGAGCCCTCCTGCCCTCCCACTGCAGTCCTGACAATGAGGAGGCAGTAGCCAGGACATCAGGAGGTAGGACAAGCATACCTGCAGGGTCGAGGCCAGCAGAGGTGAAGGTGTCACTGAACAGGACATCCACATGGGTGAGCAGGAATTCCACCACCACTGACTGCACCCGCACCTCACGGAAGGCTGCTGCCCCACCCAGCCCCACTGACTCCAGCTCCATGGACCTGAATGGGAGAGGGAGAGGGAGGTCAGGTGCTTTGAGCCACAGCTGGAGGAGGGGGAGGGTTATGACTAGGTTAGGTAGGGAGCTAATAGAAGCAAAGACTGTCATTCAACAGCTCTGATTTTATCTAATTGATCACATCTACAACTTGGTTCTCAACTTTTCCCCAGCTTGCTCCCTCACCACCTTCCCCATCTCAGTCAATGCAGTCCTTCAGTGGTTCAGGCAAGACACCTTGGAATTGTCCTTGACTTCTTTTTCCCTCACACCCACATCCAATCTGCCCAAAAACTTTGTGTGTTCCCCCCACAAAACCTGTCCAGAGTCTAAACTATTCTCCCACTCTACTGCCCCACCCTCCATCCTCTCCCTCCTGGCTATCACAGCCACCTTCTTCCTTGGCCCCCGGTCCCACCCCACCCCCACAATCTGCTTCTCATGCACAGCTGGAGGAAGCTATGAACACCTCCTGGCACCTCACTCCTGGTGAAAGCAAAGTCCTCACATGACTCACAACCTATAAGTCACTCCTCTATCTGGGTCCCCATCACCTACCTGCCCTCATCATCTCCTCCCTCTCAGTCCCTTACTCAATCACTCACTCAGTTCCAGACACAATGGCCTCCCTACTGTTCCTCCTGACCCAGCCTCAGGACCACTGCACTTATTGTTCCTTCTGCCTGGTTTGCTCTTCCCCAGATATCTCACCTTCTACAGTTCTTGACTCAAATGTTACCTTCTCAGTGGAGTCTTCCCCATCTACCTTATTTAAAATTGTAAACTTTCTCTGTATTCCAGGTCTACCTTTGTTTCTTTCCCCCCATAGTTCTTACACCCACCACGTATTTTATTTAGGACTGAGAGCTTGCCTGTCTCGGTCACCATCAAATTTGAGACTTTCTGTGCTGCTGGCTATTGAAGACTTTTTACTGAAGCCTTCCCTACCACTCTACACATCCCAAAATGCCACGACCCTGTGCATGCCCCTCCCTGCGTTGTAATCTTTATCCTTGTCACTCACTACTATCAGACCATTCTCTGTGTTTTCTTGTTACTAGTTCATTGTCCACCTCCCCAGGAGCACAGGATCTTGCTCACTACTCCATCCCCAGTGCTGAGGACAGGGGCTGGCACACTGGAGATATTTAATAAATTCATGTTGAATGAAATGAACAAGAGAATCAAAAGTTGGGTGAATTCCTAGGGTAGGTATAGAAGTAGGGGGAGACTGGGGCTCAGCCCATGGGGGGGAACTGTGGGTGACAGGCTGGTGAGCTGCCAGCTTACCGTAGCAGGTTGGGCGCCCAGACAATGGCCAGGTTGCGGGCATGCATGCTGGTATTGGCACTGTGTCTTGCCATGCGGGCCAAGTGCCTCAGCAGATACTCCAGGGTCCTGGGGTGGGAGTGGAGGGGGACACCTGAGCCTCAACTCCCTTGTGAGCCCACCATAGCCCTTCCCTACCCCTCCTGGTTTACCTATAGTGTGGCGGGGGCAGCTGTTGGATGACGTCATGGACACGCACCAGGCGTTCGTCCTCCCCAGGCACTGACATGGCCTCCTGAGATTGTGCACAGGCATGATGGGGACTGGGCCCGATGCATCCCAGCACCCTCCAACCTCACTATCTCCTTTACTCACACTGAACTTCCCGTAGAGCTGATATGTGAGCAGGGGGTTGGGCAGCTCTCGGAAGTAGAGCTTGCAGAGAGAAGACACACTGTGAATGTCCTGTAGGAAGGTGGGGCCAGACAGTTCAGGGATCCTCTCACTGTCAAACTCATGCCTGAGGCCACCAGGTCGAAGAAAAGAAAGACTCGTGTCAGAGCTGGCCCGCCTGGCTGTGCACCCCATACCCACACTGTCCACAGATGGATGCAACCCTCTTCCTGCACCGTGTTCCTCAAAAGACAGAGACTTACTTCCTCTGCCCCAAAGACAGGGGCGCTCTTTTACAGGGGACACTGACGCTCCGGTGGGAGGTGTCCCTCCTGCAGTGACCCAAGGCTATCGGATTCCAGAGCACGACCCTGCTACTGCTACTTCCACCACCTTATGCCATTCTCCTGACTTCAAGAGGGTCACTGGAAAACTGGCTGAAATCCCAGTAGCCCCTCCTCACAATTGTCTGGTTGTCTCACTGCTCGAGGGGAAAAGCTCAATGCACATGAACTCATGCTGTGTCTCTCACACCTCCGGGCTCTATACTCTCACTTCAGGGCCTCCTGTCAGTCTCAACACTTGTGCCTCACTCCTTCCCACCTCATGTCTCCTCAGTTCAGAACCCTCCAGTGTAAAAGCCAAAATCCAAACAGTTGTTAAAAAGGCCTTGCACACTCGGCCCCTAATTACTTCTCAGACATCATCTCCTGCTGCTTTGCCTTTTGGACTGCCTGTTCCCTCCACCATGAATGCTTTTCCCAGAATATCCACATGGCTCGCTCCCTCCCTCCCATCCTCCAAAAGGAGCTCCCCTCCAAGAGGCCTTCACTGCCCACCCTATTTAACACTGCAACATCCCTCCCAGATTTATTATGATTCTCCTTACCCCCCATCTCTTGTTCTCCATAGCACTTGTCACCTACTAGTAAACTCTCTCATTTCCTTGTTTGTCTCTACCTCTAGCATGTGAGGGTGGGAATCTCTGATTATCTCATTGATCATTGTGTCCCCAGTGCCTAGTGTTTGGCATGTAGCAACTTCTCAATGAAGGTTATCTCTCTACTTCCAACACTCATTCTGCTCTCACCTTTCAGGCCTCAGCTGGAGTCACTTCCTCAAAGAAGCCCTCCCTGTCCACAGCCCTGATCCAACCCCATTAGATGTCCTCCCAACTCCCAAGAACTCTTGTCACCAGCACATGGCACAGGGCCTAGACTAGAGATGATGTTCAGTAAGTGTTTGTGGAGGGAAGGGGTTGGTGGAGGGCCCTCACCGCAGCCTCTGGATATTGGATGACACGCCTGAGAGTCGGTAGATTCCATCCACCACCCCATGGGCCTCAATAAACTCAGAGCAACAGCGAAGCACCTGGGGCACTGGGAGAAAGCAGTGAGGTCAGGGATGGGCAGGTCAAATCCTGGGTAAGAGGGGTGGGCTAGGCAGATGGGCCCGGACCTCACCGTCCTGGCCTGAGTTACTGAGGTGCTCTCCAAGGTCACAGCCAAACACCCTCTGCCGTAGGATACCCCGTTGTCGCAGCCGCTGCCGAGAAGGGCGGGAGCGCATGAAGGTGCGAAGGAGGCCAGCCAGCTTCCCACGTGGCCGGGGCACAGCTGTGAGAGTAAAGGCAGGCCACACAGGGTCAGTGCAGTTACCAGTCTGATATGAAGGAGGCAGGGTCATAACCTCTTATTTCCATTACCTGAGGTCAAAGAGGAGACACCCTGGGGAGCCGGAACACCACATAGGAGACCATCGGCATCTGTGGGGTGAACAATGGGTGGGAAGGATGGACAGCAGGCAAAGGATGCAGGAAGGATTCCCCACTTTGCTGCTGGCACTTACCCCCCTTGAGTCCTGGACAGGGCCGCTCTGTGAATAGCTCCACACACTCGCTGGGGAAGAAACCGACCTGAGGAGGGTTCAGGGTCAGTGCCTGGGCCACCCTAGCTAGCACAGTGCCCGAGCCACCAGTCTACCCCAACCCAGGCTCACCTGGAAGCCTCGCTTGCCCCGCCACCAGCTCCGATCCTCTGTGGGTGGCATGTCGATCACGGAGACAATGTCTCCCACCTAGGAGTGGGCAGATGAGATGAGGGAGGGTCAGAAGTGCCCGGAAGAGGGGAGTCCAGATGGAGTCTGCCCCGCCCCCCACAGCCTCACCTCGAAGGACAGCTCGTCTGGTGCCTGAGCTGTGTACCGTTTCACCACATGGGCAGCAGCCACCGCGGGGATATTGAGGGAGGCCTCCTCACTGAGGAGCAGTCGCCTGCCATGGTTGTCCAACTGAGGTGGAGGGTGAATGTGGCAGGGAGAGGCCAGAAGGTAATAAATAATTAAGGCAGAGAAGGTTCTTCCAGGCCCAGTGGAGGCCACTACTTGCTCCTCATCTAAGGGCACCAATCACTCAGAGCTATAGATCAAACACCTAAATTCATGCCCCTTCTAAAACAAGGCCCCTTCCTTCCTCTCACATGCCTCAGGATTCCTCTACCCTGAAGTCCTCCTCATACACCCCTGCACCCTCACCATCCATAGCAGACACTGCACATCTGCTCTCTAAAAGCTGCTGGTTTAAGTCACTCTTAGCCAGGCATTCTTCTGTGAGTTACAGCCAAACCTATTGGATATACCTTGAAATTCTCACATCCCCACAGCCCAACACCTGCTAACACACACACACACACACTCATTCTAACAGACATACACCCAAACAGACACTGAAATGCCAGTGACTCCTCCTGTCTGGCTCATTTCCTTCCTGTGCCCACACACACTCCCAGGCTGGTTCTCACTCTTCAGACATGCCTCACTCATTCCCAACTTCAAGCCCCGTTGCCCGGCCCACCTCCATCCAGGTGAGCACAGGCCCACAGTTGAGGTTACTGTCCACCAGTCCTGACAGGGTCTCCAGGTATTGCAGCAGCAGCGGCACCAGCATCTGTGGTCAGATTGTCAGGGTGGGCTCTTGTGAGGAGACCCCCATGAGAGCCCATTGCCCTTCTATACTGCCTTAGCTTGCCTCTAAGCAGGACAGAAATTCAACCTCAATGAATGGGTGCCACTCTACTGTTAGGTACTAAAATATTGTCATGGTAGTTGGTAAACAGGCTACGTCAAGCTCCTGTGTGCTTCCATTGGTCTGGCCATATTGATCCTCCCATGGAACTCTTTATGATCCTAAAACTAAAGAGGGCCTCCAGAACCCTGCTGCAGTCCTATGGTCTCTCCATTCTGATTGGTTGGGACTCAGGCCATACTTGTGATTAAGTATTTATCAATCCCTCCTGCCTTGATGGTTTCACACAGCGATGATGAGGACACACCATGGCTGAGGCAGGGATGGGATAACAAGCAGTTTACCTGGGCAGCCCTGGCACCCTCTGGGGGTGGGGGGAGCTCTGGGAGACAGGAAAATCTCCGGTCAAATATGCACCGGTGGAGGTGGGTATCCAGGGAACGGAAGTCATCGTAACTGCGGAGAACTGGCCAGGAACGGCCCTGTGGGAGGGTGAGGGACAAAAAGGAGCAATGGTCCCATTTCAGAGCTGAGGACCATGGCAACCAGTCCGACAGGCCAGATGAGAGGCAGGGTGGCCTTACCTGACAGGTCACCTGCACCCCAAACACCAGCTCATTCTCCCCAGAGAAGCTAGAGCCATCACGCTCTGGAGACAGTAGGAGCTGTAGAGGGAAAGAAAAGCTCACTTTTGTTCCTGTCCTAACCTCTCCAGGCTGGCACTATCTAGGGATGGGGCTGTGTTCCCCAAGGGCAGGGCCTAGTGATGCCTCAATCAGAGTACAGGGTCCTGGCACAGAGCACACACCTAACAAAAAGTTGTTGCAGAATGAATAAAGGAACAAATGATGAGTGAGGAACAGCTCTCCCTTCCCACCCTGCAACTCCTGCCACTGACTTCTCGGATGGGTAGAGCAGCCAGTCCCAGGAACAGATCTCAGGGGTAGGGTGGCTAACATGGCTTCATGGTTGGGTGGGATCTCATCTTCCCACCTGGGTGAAAACCCTCATACCTGAATGTGGCCAAAGTCGACATTCTCATAGTGGAAATGGGCACAGTCAGCCAGCCGGGGAAAGGGACCGCGAGGAGCCGAGAGCCTGGAAGACAGGGGACACATCACTAGTGGCTTCTGTGCGTGGCCCCCTCCTAAGCTGGGCCTCTCCCACACCTCTCACCTCTTCCCAGGCTTCTCCTTCACACTGGGACCCCCAGTGGGGGGCAGGGGCTGCACTGAGCCCTCCCCTGGGCCATCCAGGCTGTCAGTGCTGCGGGCCTGTAGAGCAGAAAGAAGAATCAGAGGCCCCCAGAGATGGGAACAGAGACAAGAGGAGCATTGTTATCTGCCACCTTGAGCCTAGAGGCCTGAATCACTCCATACACTGCCCTGAGCATGGAGTAGCAGAGGTCAGGGGGAGGTGAAGACCAGATGAGGATAGGTCTTCATCTTCCTGGGCAGCCCTGGCACCCTCTGGGGGTGGGGGGAGCTCTGGGAGACAGGAAGCTCTGGTCTGGGGTGGGGGGCTGGAAGAGGAGGGCCAGGGTGAGGCAGGAAGAAAGAAGGCTGGCACCATCTCTTTGGATTTAAACTCCTCCTGTAGCCCCTGCAGAATATAGTCATCTTCCAGTTGTGCCTCTCCACACCTCTCATCACTGTCTGGACAACCACAGCTCCCAGTTTATCAGTCTTCCTGCTTCCAACCTCTCCCCTCCTACCAGCATCTCCACAGCAAGCACTAGTATAATTTTCACACAACACACATCTGCCTCTGTCTCTCCATAGATCATGGACCTTCAATGGCTCCCTGTTGTCTTCAAGATAATTCTCTGGTCTCTGTTTACCTCTCCACCCTAATCTCTTCCCATTGCCTCCACTCTCAGACCTCTCAAATTTCTGAGAGCCCAACAAAAGCACCATCTTCTCATTTTCTTCTAGGCCTTTGCAGAGGCTGTCCCCTCTGCGTGGAACACCCTTCCCCATTCTTTCACTAGGTTCACTCTTCCCCATCTCTCACATCTCAGCTCTTCATGTTTCCTCCCCAGTTCTCCCTGACCCTTCAGGCTGTATCAGTCACCTCTCTGGACTCTCCCATCCCCTGAAGTTCCTCCATCCTAGCTTGAGGACTCTGCCTGGGTTTTTCCCATCACAGCCCTGAGCACTCTGAGACGTCACTATCTGGCGACAAGTCCATCTCCCACTTTGGACTGTGACCTCCCAGCCAGCTCCCCAGCATTGCCCAGCAGAGGGGGGCACAGAATTGGTGCCTGATTCCTCGCTGGTCCCCATGCCCAATTTCAGCCCAGTTGCCAGCAGGGACCGGATAAAATCTGATGAATTAACCAGCTGTCAGATGGGGATTTCCCAGACTGGCTCTAGCTTCTCCCTCCTTCATCTCCCTGCAACTCCAAGTTCAACCTTGGGTCTCCCCCTCGGATCTGTCCCCCTCCAACCCATGAAACCCCCCAAGGCAGGATGGGTCCTGACTTTCTCTGTGAGAGCATGGGCTTGCAGAGGTCTCAGTGAATATCTGTTAAGTGAGGGAATGAGGGAATGGATGAATGAGCAGGAGCAGCGGGTGGAAGAGGGAGCCGGTAGGGGAGGGAGGATGAGGACAAGATGGAGAGGACCCAAGGATCGTGCTGGGGTTGGAGTGGAGTAAGTAGGAGGGGAGCAGCTGGAAAGGATGAGGTAAAGGTTCAGGCTGATGGGAGCGGAGGAGGTCTGGTTGAGTGGGCCTGGGATGGGGTGAAAATGATGAGAAAGAAGAAAAGGGTTAGGCTGAGGATGGAGCTGAGTGGGGGTGGGGCTCGAGAATGGAAAAGTGGCTGGTGGGCGGAGGGGGAGGGAGGCCCGGACGGGTGGAGGTTGGGATGAGGACAATGAAGGCGGCGCGGGTACGGGGGCTGGTGAGGAGCCCGGGGGGCCCCCGCAGGCCCCCGC